TGTGTAAAACCGCAGCCGCCCTCGATAGCTGCCATTTGCCAATGTTTATTCTCTTTTCTACCGTTCTTGCATAAACCATCAAGGAATTAAATCTATCCCGCCCTCCTCTCTGTTCCCACACCAACTTACCTAGCCAAATGCAGTTACTGGCAAATTCATCTCCCTTCCATTTGTTCAAATATTGCTTCTTGCAGCCCCCAACAGTTCCTTATCCGTCGAGACTTCTGAAAAGAAATCCGGCAGCAGTCTAAGCTTATTTGATTTAAAGTGCACATGTCTCATGTCATCTCCCTCAGATTCCTGCTCGCGCTCGGTTCCTTAACAGAACAATATCCTCTCAAGGAAACGATTTGTGAATAAGCTGAGCGAAATACCCAGGACTAAAAGGGGGAGGAAAGAGAGCTTCATCTTTTCCATTTTGCACTTTTGTAGAAGATTCTCTCCCCACACACATTCATTCCTCAAATAGATCAGGGAAGGCTCTTATGTGACAGTTTACAAACACTTTTGCCATGATGTGCGGTGGAGCACTGAGGGAACGAAGCGGGAAAAGAAAAATACTTAAATTGAGGTAGAAAAAGCAGTAGAAAAATACAAAGAGGAAGGCAGCCATCAGATGTGCTGGCGGCAACAGCCCAGTCAAAATTGCTCATGTACCCATTGTCCTTGATAAGAGAGGGGAAAGTCTGTTGGATTCACGGTATGAAAGCTTCCATGTTTAGGAGGCAAACAACCCAGATCACAAGGGCCCCTATAGGAGATAAATTATCTTCTCATTAAACACTGGGGCATCTGTGCAGTTTTCCAGGCATACCTCAGAGTTCTAGCCTTAATGTCAGACCCTCTAAGTGGCCCTCCAAGTCCAAGATTTACAGAAGCCATTCCGGTTTCTGATGTGATGCCGGAATGTCCGCCTTTTCCTTATCTCCCGCTTGGACTACTGCAACGCGCTCTATGTAGGGCTACCTTTGAAGGTGACCCAGAAACTACAATTATTCCAGAATGCGGCAGCTAGACTGGTGATTGGGAGTGGCTGCCGAGATCATATAACACCAGTCCTGAAAGACCTACATTGGCTCCCAGTACGTTTCCGAGCACAATTCAACATGTTAGTGCTGACCTTTACTTCTTCTTTGGCGATCACTCATAGCCAAGTAAGATTGTCTTCCACACACATGGTTTTATCAGTCCGTAAGTGACTGTGGAGGCCAATTCTGGACCCACATGTCCTTCCACAGTGGCGACATAGGTTCCTGGGCGGGAGTTTATCACAGTGTGGATTTGCCAAGCGTGCCTTCCTCTTAGCCCACTTCTCCCTTGAGTTCTGAGTGCGAGTGTCTTAAAAGTCCATGACACCTTTGGTAAAGGCTGTTCTCCAACTGGAGGCCAGTGTTTCCCAGTTGTCGGTGTTTATACGACATTTTTTTTAGATCAGCCTCGGCCCAGTATACCTGAAGGAGCGTCTCCACCCCCATCGTTCAGCCCGGACACTGAGGTCCAGCTCCGAGGGCCTTCTGGTGGTTCCCTCACTGCGAGAAGGGAGGTTACAGGGAACCAGGCAGAGGGCCTTCCCAGTAGTGGCGCCCACCCTGTGGAACGCCCTCCCTTCAGATGCCAAGGAAATAAACAACTATCTGACTTTTAGAACACATCTGAAGGCAGCCCTGTTTAGGGAAGAGTTTAATGTTTTATGTTTTGTCACTTTATATTAATATTCTTTTGGGAGCCACCCAGAGTGGCTGGGGAAACCCAGCCAGATGGGTGGGGTATAAATTATAAATAATAATATATATATATATATATATTATTAGATCAGCCTCAGCCCAGTATACCTGAAGGAGCATCTCGACCCTCATTGTTCAGACCAGACACTGAGATCCAGCTCCAAGGGCCTTCTGGCGGTTCCCTCGCTGCGAGAAGCCAAGTTACAGGGAACCAGGCAGAGGGCCTTCTCAGTAGTGGCACCTGCCCTGTGGAATGCCCTCCCATCAGATGTCAAAGAGATAAACAACTACCTGACATTTAGAAGACTTCTGAAGGCAGCCCTGTTCAGGGAAGTTTTTAATGTGTGACATTTTAATGTATTTTTAATCTTTGGTGGAAACCGCCCAGAGTGGCTGGGGAAACCCAACCAGATGGGCGGGATATAAATAAATTATTATTATTATTATTATTATTATTATTACTATTAAAATTTAAATGGAGTCATGCAACTCCTGATCCAAGAAGATAAGTAACTATACAACCTTTAGAAAACACCTGAAGGCCAGCCCTGTATAGGGATGTTTTTAAACGTTTAATGCCTTATTATGTTTTTTATATGTTGAAGTGGCTGGGCAACCCAGTCTGATGGGCAGAGTATAAATGTTATTATTATTACTATTATTATTATTATTATTATTATTATTATTATTATTGAATAGGGCATGCCTATTTTCATCGGAGAATGGGAGGATATGCATCCCTCACTCACATAGTCCAAAACTGGCACAAATATTCCAATTGTCACTGTTCCTTTATGGTACCCTCTCCCCCCCCCCCCTTTCTTGTTTCGCACAAAACCAGCTACAGAGAAAGCTGCCCCTTAGGAAGCACTCTCAGATATTGGCTATAAATGTGAAAGACCAGACAATGAACAATCAGTTGCAACATTTTCCCCACAGAACAATCAATACACAGGAAGAAGGAAGGAAAGGGATAAAATGATTTTTTAAAAATAATAAAGTTCCCCAGTACGGATGGATTCACCTCTGAGATTTATATATCACACGGATATAAATAATTGGCAAAACTTTCACCATCCTTAACAGAAATGAGGAATGCAGGTATGTGGAAGCAAAGAAGAGTTCCAGCCTCTTAGAAGGAAGCAAAAATTATTATAATTGCTAGCCCTGGAAAAGCTCCAGCAGAAGTTGTCTCCTATAAAACAAAAGATTTCCAAAACTTAGAATGTTAAAATATCAACATGGGTATTGGCAACCAGGTTGAACAAAACAAATGGGTCTTGGTCCAGTATACCTGAAGGAGCGTCTCCACCCCCATCGTTCTACCCGGACACTGGGGTATAAATAATATATTATTATTATTATTATTATTATTATTAAATCACAAGTCTATTGAAAGCAATCCAAATGTCTGTCGTCTAGGTGAAAAATTAATTTGGAAATTAATTAACATTATGTTAAAGAGAAGGTCCGTATAGTGAAAGCTATGGTTTTCCCAGTAGTGATGTATGGAAGTGAGAGCCGGACCATAAAGAAGGCTGATCGCTAAAGAATTGATGCTTTTGAATTATGGTGCTGGAGGAGACTCTGGAGAGTCCCATGGACTGCAAGAAGAACAAACCTATCCATTCTGAAGGAAATCAGCCCTGAGTGCTCACTGGAAGGACAGATCCTGAAGCTGAGGCTCCAATATTTTGGCACCTCATGAGAAGAGAAGACTCCCTGGAAAAGACCCTGATGTTGGGAAAGATAGATGGCACAAGGAGAAAGGGACGACAGAGGACGAGATGGTCGGACAGTGTTCTTGAAGCTACCAGCATGAGTTTGACCAAACTGCGGGGGCAGTGGAAGACAGGAGTGCCTGGCGTGCTCTGGTCCAGGGGGTCACGAAGAGTCGGACACGACTAAACGACTAAACAACAACAACAATGTTAAAGAAAAAGCAGAGGAGCATTTATTCTCAGCAGGTCTCCAATGGAGTCCTGTAAATTAGAGGGATGTTGGCACAACAGACATTGCTGGGGCTAGCCTTGAATGCCCCATCACCTGTAGAGGAATCAGACTCCTGGGCCCTGACAGTTTGCACCCATTTCTGTGTCTGTTCCCTGGTTTCTCGGCTGAAACAGGAATCTAGTGGACCTGCGTACAGCACCAAAGATGTGGGGCAGGGAAGGTGCATGATTAATACCAGCCGGCTTTTGAAGTTCAAAGAGTTACATCTTTTTAGATGTCACACCAGCTGTGATTTTTCTGATCAGTTTTCAGTCCCAGTTATTCGGCTTTTTGTAAAGGTATTTCCATTGAGTGTTTTATTAATGGAGGTGATGAATACTTGTCACAGTGGAGAATTGTGAATAAGTTTAAAGGATCTAAGTGTCCTTTTTACCTGCAAAATCTTGATCGGCAGCAGCTCTTCCGATTATAATAGCTTTCTGCCACCCAATTTAAGCAACAGAATAAGGCAGTCAGAAGCATAAATAGGCCAGAGAGCATAAAAGCACAGTAGAGGCTGATAAAACAAAAACAAAGCGCATAGACAGAGGGCTCAAATTAATAGTTCTGCCCCACCCTCATCCACCCAGAATGCAGAAAGATGTGTTACTGCCCTTGAGCAATGGCCAGATTCAGGGATGGGAGGTTCCTTTCTTTATTGGTCTTTAAGAATGGGGGGGGGGATTAGTAAAAAGCCACCCAATTTGCACTTCTTGAACCAATATGCGATCCAAAACACAGCTGTCCTTAGGAATTCACACTACCTATGTTTCCCAGTGATGTATGGAAGTGAGAGCTGGACCATAAAGAAGGCTGATCGCCGAAGAATTGATGCTTTTGAATTATGGTGCTGGAGGAGACTCTGGAGAGTCCTATGGACTGCAAGAAGAACAAACCTATCCATTCTGAAGGAAATCAGCCCTGAGTGCTCACTGGAAGGACAGATCCTGAAGCTGAGACTCCGATACTCCCTGGGAAAGACCCTGATGTTGGGAAAGATAGAGGGCACAAGGAGAAGGGGATGACAGAGGACGAGATGGTTGGACAGTGTTCTCGAAGCTACAAACATGAGTTTGACCAAACTGCGGGAGGCAGTGGAGGACAGGAGTGCCTGGTGTGCTCTGGTCCATGGGGTCATGAAGAGTCGGACACGACTAAACGACTAAACAACAACAACAAATGTTGGTTAAGCGGTTTAAGAAAGCTTGGCTTGATGAAATCACAGAATAGTAGAGCTGGGAGTAACAATCATCTAGTCCAACCCCCTGCAATGCAGGAATCTTTTGCCCAACATGAGACTCGAACTCGCAACTCTGAGAGCAAGAGTCTCATGGTCTACCAGCTGAGCTATCCCACACAGTCACGATTGCAAGGAACCTAGAACTGAGATTCACAAAGCAGCAAAGGGTGTGAGATCTCTAGGATCGCAAGAAAAAAGCAAAATGTCTTTTGAGGATGTGAAGTAAAATGTCTAATCAGGAAAGCATTCTAAGAGAGGAAGAGTAGCAAGAACAGTGGTACCTTGGTTCTCAAACGCCTTGGTACTCAAACGCCTTGGTTCCAAAATGCCGAAAACCCGGAAGTATGTGTTCTGGTTTTTGAACATTTTTCGGAAGCCGAACATCCAATGCAGCCATTGGCTATTGTTTCCAGGGCACCTGCACCAATCAGAAGCTGCGCCTTGGTTTTCGAACATTTCAGAAGTCAAACAGACTTCCATAACGGATTAAGTTTGGCGCTTTTGTTTTTGCTCTTTATTTTGCGTTTTTGTTTTTGAGGCTCTTTCGGTTAATTTGTTTTTGTGATTGTGTGGAGCCCAGTTCAGCTACTGATTGATTGATTGATTGATTGATTGATTGACTGATTGATTGATTCTGTGACTGCAGAAATGGATAAAAGCCCCCCATCCAAACAATGACTATCACCAGTGCAGGTAAGAAAAAGTATTTCCCCCCCATTTTTATCATCTACAATACTGTCTTTTTTATTTTATAGTACAGTACATTGATTGTTGCTTTCATTTTATGGATCAATGGTCTCGTTAGATAGTAAAATTCGTGTTAAATTGCTGTTTTAGGGGTTGTTTTTAAAAGTCTGGAACGGATTGATCTGTTTTGCATTACTTTCTATGGGAAAGCACGCCTTGGTTTTGGAACGCTTTGGTTTTGGAACGGGCTTCCGGAACGGATCGAGTTTGAGAACCAAGGTACCACTGTAGTAAGAGATTAATCTGTGTGAGTGCGTGTCATTCCCTGATGTCTGTCTGTGAGAATGCAAGTATGAGGATTTTTTCCCAGCTCCGGGTGCCCTGGTTGACTCTTCTTTGAGAGCATCTTTTCTCCCTCAGGCAGCAGCCTATATTTGCTCTCGCTGTTCCTCATTGTACAAAAGTGACCTGGTGCTGTGACAGCTTATTGGCACTCTCCAAGTCACTAAGGCAGAATTTGTGGGGTTTTTCCCCCTATGATTATCCTCACCCATCCCTTTAGGGCTATGATTAATTCATAGCGTGTCAGCGACAGAGCCTTCCATCGCCGTTCAGAGTGAGAAGGGTCGTCTTCCCAGAGCTGCCCTGAGACCACTGTGAAATTTGTACAGGCAGTCCCACCAGGTAGTCAATCTTGTAAAAGCACAGATATTACAAAGTAAATACAAGTGATCTATTTGTTTAAGGTTATTACTCTGACCGAGAGGGTATTAAAACAATCTTTTGACTGGCAAAAGATAGCTGGCTGCCATTTCCCGCTGGATTGGAGCAAATAGGTTTTTGTTCTCCCCCTCGACTGTTCCATCTCACCTCCTCCTTTTCGCTACCTGTGAGCGCTCTGGAAGTTCATCAGTTTTCCGCTGATATGGAGATTGGAATGCATAGCACAACGGAGTCATTGAAATTCAGTCCATACACAAGTCTAAATTAGTGGGAGGGGGGACATTCGCCAGTAATAACACCTTGATCTGCGGAGACATAAAACTTAAACTTCATCTCAAGTCAGTGTCCAATCACATCGTTTGATTTTTTGAAATTTCATCTCTTAATACATCCGAAAGCGCATGTATCAGATGTCGAACTCTGCCTTCAGAAGTAATTAGGACTGCAGCTGTTGGAAATCTTCATTCTGAGCTCTGATCACAGTGGCATAGCTGAAATGTTTCACAAGATGCAAGCTTACTCCCTATTGATCTGAAACGGAGATCAATACTTCTCGCCGACCACCGTCCCTTTACTGGAAACTATCAAGGGTGAGGAACCTGGAAATTCAGACTGAAAAGTATAAAAGTAGCTCTAGTATTAGGGACGGGAGTCTAAGTAACAGTATTACTCATGGTGGTAGCAGCAGTGGAGCAGTCTGTGGTAGTCTCACTCAGAGCACACCCATTGAAAGGAAGGGGCATGGCTAATGTAGGTCCATTAATAGGTCAGCTTTGAGCATACCTGAGTTGTATACTGCCCACCATCTTCTTACAGTTTTCATAGAAAATATGTTGGACTTGCACCCAAATCCCCACCCCAGGGTATAAATATACAAGCAGGAATTGTTTTATGGGCAGCCGAAGTAAATTGAGAAAGGTTAAACGATTTAAGATGAAATATCAAATCATTACATTATTTTAAAGGATTTAAGTGTAAATTAGATTAAAATCTATAATATGATGCAGTATCATAGGGAAATATTGGAAACACCTTGGAAGAAGGGTGAGGAGCCAGCGTTATAAATTTGCATTAAATGTGAAACAATTCAATACTGATTTGTTAAAAGTTATGAAACTCAATAAAAATTTAATTGGCAACTCCCCACCAAGCTATGCGCTCACTATCTCGTGACTGAATTAGACTTTCCCATGTCTTCCAGGAGCCTTAACAGTTAACATGTTTCCCTCTGCCTTCCCTGAGTTCAGCAACATTCCGGTATATCAAAAGAAAGAACTATAACCAATATAAATCCTTACATGGGCACTGGATTGTTTATGCCAATAATGGAGATTGAATGGGGGGGTAGGTAAAGGACCCCTGGTCAGTTAAGTCCAGTCAAAGGCGACTATGGGCTCGTCTCGTTTTTCATGCTGCGGGAACTGGTGTTTGTCCGCAGACAGCTTTCCAGGACATGTGGCCAGCAGGACTAAACTGCTTCTGGCGCAACAGAACACCGTGACAGAAACCAGAGTGCATGAAAACGCTGTTTGCCTTTCCGCCACAGTGGTACCTATTTATCTACTCGCGCTGGTGTGCTTTCGAACTGCTAGGTTAGCAGGAGCTGGGACAGAGCAAAGGGAGCTCAGCCTGTCGTGAGGATTCGAACTACTGACCTTCCGATCACCAGTTGACCAGTACAGTCGTACCTTGGAAGTCGAACGGAATCCATTCTGGAAGTCCATTCAACTTCCAAAACTTTCAGTTCAGCTTCTGAAAATTGTGCAAAAACCAGAACACTCACTTCTGTGATGGAAACCAGAGTGTACGGAAATGGCGTTTACCTTCCTCCTTACCTATTTGTCTACTTGCACTGGCTCCATCGTGGGGAATCAAACTGCCGACCTTCTGATCAGCAAGCCCAAGGGGCTCAGTGATTTAGACCACAGCGCCACCCGTGTCTCATGGATTGTTTATGCCAATAATGGAGACTGAATTGAAACATGGGTACTGATCCTGGAGAAGATGATCCAGTGCTATTTTTCTAGAAAAATAGGTGCCAGAACTCTCTTGTTCCCTTATAATGGCACCCCAACTGAGAGATGCCGCAACTGAGTTGGTCATATAAGGCCAGGTGGAAATACCTTTTGGCAGAATATAAAGAAATATCTGTGGGGTAAGTCACTTGCATGAGTATGGAGGAGACCTCTCAAGATGGTGCCTAGAAAACTAAACGTCTGTAGGACCTTGGTTGTGGAGGCAGCAAGTTTTGTGTGGTTCTGAGTGCCAAAGAGTCATGTGACAACAACCACCTGACCTGTCCCCCGCATCTGTCCATTGATTTCCCAGAGGTGCCTGCATGGACGTTCCAGAGATAAGAACAAGGCACAGAACAGCCTCTCGTCTGCTGTACATTTTCGCTCTTGTGAAGAAGCGTATCGAGCGCAGCCTTGCAACCCGGTTACCAGCTGCCTCCTCCCGTTGGCCTTTTCCGCTGTGGGATCAATGAAGACCCGCCGATTGCCACCTGCTCCAGATCAGAAAGCACAGCTACAGAAACATCTGGGCCTTTTCTTTCCTACAGCTTGCACTTGCGCTAAGTTATGGCTCCTATTTCTGGCAACGCGTGTTTGCTTTGTTGCTCGGCTTTTTTGGAGTCAATAGAAAATAAAGGTCACTTTGACTGAAATATCTAGTTGCCGGAGAAAGACACAACAAAGGGAGATCATAATTTCCGCCGCTGCATTGTTTTGCAAGCTGAATGCGCCTCTTTTCACAGAGCTCCTGATCTTTGAAACCAATGGGAGTTTGGCTATTGATTTCAGCGAGGAGAGGAGAGAGACTGATTTACATATGCAATTAGGAGACAAGTAGGAACAGAGTCTTAGTTAGGCCAGCTTCATGCTGATTTGTTTCTCTTGATCTCTTGTATCATGTTTGACATCTGTCAAAAGGTGGGGGGGGGACTGCCAGCTGGCAGAAGGATGGAAAGGAGACCATACTCCAAGGTTGTGGAGACAGACAATATGTTTATGAAGGTCATTCAAAAACCTTCCTCCCATTTCCCCCCCAAATACAAACTTTTGGACTTAGGTTCAAAAGGGATAGTGGAGTGGATGCAACTTCTGCCTGGTGTAGGGACAAGAAGGGAGAGTGTCTTGTGGGTTTCGCTGAATTTCAGACTTCTAGGGCAGCAAGAACAAACACAGAATTCCTGCTTAAAAGAAAAGAAAAAGAGGAGGGCCATTTCTCTCTTCCTTTGTTTTTAAGTTATGCTTTTCATATTTATTCATTTTACAATCATTTTAACACTTCAAAACTTGACTTCCTTCCCCTCTTTCTGGGGTTCCTTCAATTTATTTTTAATATCTTCTGCATATCCAAATTAACTTCATTTGCTCATTTGTTCATCTACTTTAAATATATACTCTTATAAAACTACTGGTTATTACAATAATCCTGCCAATGTTCTTATCTGTTTACAATTTATCTGTAAATATTCCATAAACCATTTCTATTCTTTTATAAAAAGTTTGTTGTCTTGATTTCTTATTCTTCTGGTAAGTTCCGCCATTTCTGCATGTTCCGTAAGTTTTTGCATCCATTCTTCTTTTGCTGGGACTTCTGCTTCTTTCCATTTTGGGGCAAGTAACATTCTTGCTGCTGTAGTCACATACATAAATAAGAAGAAGAGTTTGGATTTGATATCCGCTTTATCACTACT